TGTATGCATATTATATGCTTAATCCCTGCAATTGTGTATTATATACGCATAATATTTGTACCCATTTTCCTGATGTAGTATTAGAAGTAAATAGAAAGAAACATTGTCATTTTGTGAGATGTTGTTAGAATGGAATGAAGTCATATTTAGTGATGAATCAAGATTCACTGTATTTGACAATGACTCTCAAAATTGGGTTTGGGGACAAACTCCATGAGAAATATAATATTGATTGTTTAGTACCTAAGGTTGCACACTCACCTGGAATAATAGTATGGGGATGCTTTACTCAAGATCAAATTGGTCCACTTATACAAGTTAATGGTAGCATTACAGGTGAAGCATATGAAAAAATACTCAAAGATCACCTATTACCTTTTCTTCAATTTTTGGACTCTTCAAAATTATGGCTTTGTTAATGTTCTTTTATTAGTTATGATTTTTCTTTCCTCTTGGTAAATCTCATGGTTGATTTTCTCTTTCCTTAGATAGTTTCAAGCATCTGAGCATCATATATTTTGAAAACATAAGAAGCAATCTTTTCCCATTGTTCTTTCTCCAAAATACTTCTGATAGTTCTATAATTCTTGGGTTCCATAGTAGATCTGATATAAATGAGTTTTCATATTAACTATTTTTATCTAGACAAACATCATGATCACATTACATTATAATACAATTGTGATATTAAATAAACACTATTGATCCCTGAAATTTTTGGTAATATCAATGTTTACTTTTGTTACAGCATGCCCCATATAGAGTAGATGGAGATATATTGTTATCTTGTTATTGACTTCTACTACCATCCCTCAACTCATATTATATAGTTGTTTTCAAAAAACTCTATTTTTAAATTAGAAAGTTTTTTAATGCTCAAATTGCATACAAGTAAACTAATATCACTTACCTTGAAAATTCATTAGCAAAGAATTAAAAACAAGCAACCTTCTTTAATCAAATTTATTTTTGAAGAAATATTATTATATTTGTTATAGGTTTTATGTATTTTTACAAGTGATGAGAAAACTACTTTTGAATTTACAAGTTTTGTTTAAAGAACTTTCTAACAAGACATCAATTTTTTTTATCACTATACAATTGGATAGGTTCTGAAAAATAGTAAACCATTTCCAAAATTAGTTTTGGTTAACTTGAAGTGTTACTATTATGTAATTTTTTATCAACAGCATCATAATAAAATTTGTGTTACCTACCAGGGCTGGCAGGGTTAAAAACCTGATTTAGTAACAATTATCTTGACTAAACTTGACTTAACATATGACTAAATAGTTTAGTCAGGTTAGCCAAGTGCTCATTTGAGTTACGCAGCCAGCCCTGTTACCTACATTCTACCCTTAATATTAAGGGTAGGGGATCATGTGGTAGATTAATTGCTCAAAAAAAATAATGTCAATCATCATAAATAACAATAGTAATTCAATATTAATATTACAAAGACTCCTAGTACTATTTTTTTTTTATTAAATAAAGACTCCAGATTTTAACTCTCCATTCTTTTGAGTTTATATCCAAATTTCCACAATGCTTGCAAGTGAATGTTAGTATTAATTCAATTAATTACTGTGGATATAAATATTGTTGAACTTAAATTATTGTCTTTAAATGGTTTATCAACAGCATTTCCAACTTTCCAGATTATTTGGTGATGTATTTCATCATAATCTACACTCACCTGCCATAAGTATTGGCAATTTTGCAGGTTGCTGGAAATAATTGAACAAAGTGAAATAAAATAACTCAAAATTTTATTATCACAAAAATCAATTTTCAGAATGATTCCCATAACATACTTGAGTTTTATAATGTTTTGTTTACAATTAATAATTTTATTAGCTTTAAAAGTCAAAGTAAAAAATTTTCAATTGATAACAAAACCTAATTGCCAA